ACTGGCTGTATGGCCGTAATTTTTATATTATATAAGAACATATTAGAACATTTTAAATACTTTAGTTATACATGCATACACACATATATATATATATATATGTATATATATATATATATATATACATACATACATACATACATACATATATATATGTACATGTTATTATGATAATTATACAGATCATATATATATAAATATTCATTGAGGATCGCAGATGTATACCATCATAACGTACTAAATTAAATGCTGAAGCTGATTCAACAGTTTTCTCTGCTGAATAATCAAAATTTTCTAAAAAAATCAAAAGTTAAACTCAATTTAGCAGATGAATTTTTATCAAAAGCGGTAAATTCGTTATTCGCGGCACGAATTATAAAGCTGAAGGCTCACGTTGTGCTTTGTTTTTCGTCTGCTTTGCGTTGCATTGTTAGGGTGGAAGGTATCGTGGGTTATTATATAGTCGTCACAGTTGTTATATCCGTATCTTTGTTAATTCTGTAGCTGTGTTGTATTTGGACGAGCTACAGGAGAAAAGGAACAGCGGATTTAATTGTTTCTATTTAAGCTGTGAAACAGCTCTGAATTTTTGAATTTTTGATATTTCATTGATTGTCTGTTTAAATTAATAGTGTGTTTAATATTTAAAAAAATTCTAGCGCTGTTCGCTTTCGATTAGTGACTATTAAAGTGGAGTACTCGTTCACACAAGATTAATAATGATAAGATCATGCAGTGTCATGCAAAGTGTTGCTGTATATTTATTTGAAAGTCGAACGTCAAAACTACTGCCTGTACTAATTAATCATGATTTTAACTATTGTCTACAAAAGACATATTGTTTAAGTTACTTATGAAATATTTATGTTCAAAATAATTACGTGAAAATATTCTTTTTATAAAATTATTATATATAGATAAATTACATAAAGATACACAAAGAAAACATTTTTAGATAAAATGGAAAGAATATTATTACAGAAATATTTTCTTATTAGAAAAAAATATAATTATATAAGTAATAAATATAATAAAAATAATTACATAAATAAGACTATCCTCTTTTATTCTTTTTAAAAGAGATATAAAATATGCAAATATGCAAATAACATGTTTCTTGTAACGACATTACTGTTACTTTTTTATAATAATGACTTGGTAATAAAATTACAATTTTTTATGTAGAAAGTAATTCGTTATTTAAAGAAAATGATTCGTTACTTTACATGTTACGTAATGTTACGTATTAAATAAAATAACGAATTACTTTCTTCAATTATTTTTATTTTTTAATGAAAAATGCGTAATGGTAACAAATTATTTTCGAAAGTGACTATTCCAATCCTGGTTATTGTTATGAAAAATTGTATCTAACGTCATTATAACTCATTACTAAATCGTTATTATAAAAAAGTAACAATGTTGGCGTTCCTTGTCATTCTTAAAAAGATATAAATATATCTAAATAATTTTTTGCGCATCATTTCGCTGTGTTGATAAAGAAATTAAATTTTGACTTATTTCGCTTTTCTATTCACGCAGCGAAATATACATAAAATTAATCTTTATGCAAACAAAAGAGTCTTTAAGTACAAAAATATAAGTTTAAGTATAAAAATATATGTTTTGCGTTGACTTTCCATAAATTATACAGTCTTACAAACGCTACAATCCATGCACTCAACTTTATTTTTGTCTGCGTGCGACTCGATCTTTTTTTAATGTTCTGAATCTTTATTAATATAATGATCTAGACTCTTATGTGTATGCCTAATTTCAGAAGATTATTAGCAAATTTAAGTTGAACTTCTATGCAAATTTATAATTACATTTTTTAACGAATTTCTTTCTAACTTTTGAATTATTTTTTAAAAATCGAATTTTACTTTAAATTTTGAATTTCTTAAATTCATTTCAATTTTCGAATTTTCAAATACTTATTATTAAAAAACTTTTAAAAACTTGAAATTTTTTATATATTTTTATTTTATAATTTTTACAGAAAAAAATTTATATTTAGTGTGAAATGAATTTTAATTACTTTGTTATCCAATGTTTATATTTTTTTGTCTAACTTACAAATTTTATTTGAGATTTTTCAGATAAAATATTTTGTTTAAAAAACAAAACGTTTTAAAAAATCTGCGTATATGTAGCCAAGTAACTTTCTGAACTTGAGAAAATTATTTTCGCTGCTCGTCGGTCGATTATCTCTGCGTCTGTCAGCTTTGTCTGTGTATGCTGCAACCATGCCTTCTAAGTTAGAATACGTTTCTATCGTACAAGCTCGCCTTCTATCGTAAATTCATTTATCTCCCATCTCTCTCATTTTGAGTATAAGAATGTTTTTCCTAAAACTACCAAAATATATCTACCAGAAAATTATAGAATAAGAAGAATGTAAGAAAAATGCAAAAAATAAAAACTCAAGCTCTGTGAAAGAGAGGGGGAGAGAGAGAGACAGAGAGAGAGAGAGAGAGAGAGAGAGAGAAAGAGAGAGAGAAAGAGAGAGAAAGAAAAAATGGAGAAAGTAAAAAAGGAACAGGAAAAAAAGTAATGTAAAGAAGAGAAAAAAAAAATCATAATTAGATAATCAAGGAAGCATTCCACTAAATCGTTTGCACGACGAATGAACGCCATTTGTCATTACAGTGTCACCAATATTGTCATATAGTCATTATTTTATCAGTACATAATATGTTATCAGTATTATTATATTAAATTTTAAAACCGTGATTGAATGACATATTGAACTGTATAATTCTGCAGAAACTAATATATAGAATAAGGCAATAATTTTGTCCATTTAGCATATCACTAATATTTTTGGAAATACATATTAAAATATTTTTATTATAAAATTATATCAAGAATCTCATAACACGCTAGTAATAATTTTTTTCTTTTCTATGAGTCAAAGACTTCAAGGTTACCTATATTTTTTTTAATTATACGATTTTTCTAATATAACATGACTCAATAATAGTCATTCTGTATATAAAATGCTTTCTTTATATTAATTATTTCTTATTATTCTGTGCAAGAAAGTATTAAAGTAAGATTATGAAAACATAAATAATTTCGAAGACATTTTATACTTCAAAATATTATATGTCAAGTATGCCAGAATAGAATATATCGTGAACTATTAATTTTTTAATAACTTTATCTTAATACTTTTATATGAATAACTGTACAAGTCATATTGTGTTAGAAAAATTTTTTATATACAATTATTCACTTTGTATATTAAGCAAATCTGTGCAACAGACATAAAAAAATATGATTCGAGAAAACTTCTATCAGTATTTCTATTTTAAATGTATATAATGGCTTAATGTGTGAATTACATGAATTTCGGAACTATAGACTTTAGATTTTATACGTAGAAGATTTTTGCTTTTCACTATTTTTTTTAATACTCCAAAATCCAAATTCTTTATGTATAATATATAAATATTTTTTATGTAATACGTCATGTACAATCGGCGTTCATACCTCGTCTAATTTTGTTGTGCTTCTTTATAATTTTTTGCATCAAACGAAACTCGACTAGTCGCATCGAACATTGTCGCATTAAAATAAAACGAACAACAGTGAGGTGCATTATTGTGAGAAGAATTCAAAAGCTAGAGAGTATCCACATTTTGTTTCTTCTCTTTATCATAATATTATGAGATAGGGCTAATCATCGATGTTCCTGGACGACAGTCGAGTACATGCAGCCCGGTAACGCTAAGGAAGAAATTTATGTTATATTCTACTTGTCAATTTAAAATTATGTATTATATTTTTTAAGATTTAAGAATTTTTAAGACTAAACAATAAATATTTACAATCAATTATATAATTGCCAAATATTTAAAGCATCAAAAATGCTAGGTTTAAATAAGAAATATTGTAGAATTATATAATTTAAATAAATAATTTGCAATATATCTGTATGCAATGTATGCCAAATAATATTACAGAAATAATTAAATTTTCTAATGGAATTATTGCATTAAGTCAATTTTGCTACAAATATAGTTTTTATCATTCAAACTTAAATTAATTAAATCATGTAATTTAATCACTCTATTTCAAATTTAGCTTGTTTTTTCAATAAAATTTCTTCCTCAGGGTTTATATATATTACTAATAATGATAGCTAGCCGTGCTTGCTCGAAGAGCAACTAATAGAGAACTCGGACTCGCCCCGTAAATGTTAGAGGTGTCGATTAGATAGTTGGGATGATTTCTACGAGAAACGCCTAGGTACTATCGATGCTGTCTAAGACCAATAATCGGAATGAACGATGTTCACAAATTGGGCAAATCTCTTTGAAAAGAAGATGAAATTTTCTATTAGAGTTACAGTAATTAATAATTCTCTAATCCTAAAAATCTATTCTAAGATAAGTTTATCATAACATTTATTGTTAATGCTATTTAATAACTTTGTTTAACTTTCTTTCATCTATTATTTAAAAGTATTAGATGCGCGGCTTAACTCTCTTATTGAGAATTTAGTCAATTGCATTACACTAGATTAATGTCATAATTTCACACAACTATGGTCCAAAATCACACAGCAGATAGACTATATTAATAGTTTTCGTCAGATGTTCATATTTCAAATATCGATTTGGATCACAGTTATGGCATAAAATCATAATTGCGTAAAATTACAGCGCAACAAACTGTTGTCCATAAAATTAGCAAAATTAAATGTAAAAGGATTTAAATATTAAAAAAAATATTTAATAATGTGATATTTAACATTATTTAATAGAATATACATGTATTATTTTATTGCCAAAATTAATTATACTGCATTTAAATACTTAATATATATAAAGCAGCTTTTAATATGCATCAATCCAGTGTACTGCAAGTGACCGAATTTACCATTATATTATGTTTACCTCAAAGGGTCTTCGAGGGAAACATAAATTAATTAATAAAATTAATTTGAGCAGCATTATAATGAATAATAATTTTTTTATGAGAATATAGGATAAATACTATATTTTACTTGCAGACGTCTATTTATATATATATTTCTTCAGCTTTTAACATATACCCGAATTCATCTTATAACATCCTCATCTTCTATTACGCATATGGTATCTATTATAATTAAGATATGCAAAACTTTGATAAAATTTTTATATTACACAAATGTAATATATTCAATTTCTATGCGATCTAATGGCTCGATACATGCGCTTGAAAGAGGCACATAGTTAATCGATAATCGTTCACGTCAATCGTCTATCATTCTTATATGCTTATTTGACTACTTTCTTCAATATCTCGAAGGACCTAGCCTTCGAGATCAAAGTCGGCTTTAATCGTTCGTTCCGACGATTGGTCGTGTTATCGGTTTGTCGACTCGCTAAAATTTCTACAAAGGATATGATTGAACACCACTGCGATGGGTGGATCGAATTAATTGATGTTATACGATATGATTATTGCAACGTTCTACAAAGCAAGCGGAGGCTCTTAAGATTGCCGAACGCAGAATAAGGATGGTCGACAGGATCAGTAGGAGTATGGGATTTGAACTCGAGGTCGGGGGTACACGATTGCACATATCCTCCTCACAGAAGCACATGTGACCAGTGCCGGTACTTTCCATCATGCACACGTGGTCCACCATGAATAAGTTTATTTGTAGCTGCGCGGTGCAGGTTCTTCTTACGCTTTCGTACGCTGTAAGCCAAAGGGAATAATAAGCAATAAGTTAATCAAAATATATGCTCTTATATCTAATGATTCTTTAATATATGTATAATTGTTTTGCCATAATATCATAATTTACTTTAAAAAAACCGTTTAATTAAAGTAAAATTAAAGAAAATCTTAGTTTTCTTAAATATAGAATAGATGAATTTCAAAATGAATTACAAAACATTTTTATTGCTGATAAACGAGATTTAAAAGTAAAATCAATTTCTTGAAATAATATTGGTTTTTGTTTCTAATTAAGTGAATGTTTCTGAATAATTTTCTATGATCGCGCGCACCAAAATAATAAGAAATAAAAACAAAAATGTTTTGACCAAGTTATATAGACGTTTTACGGGATCACTTCTCGTGAGCAGATAGAGCGGATTGAATTGATAATGAATCGAAAAGTTCTTTACCATTTTGCAATTTTCGCAATACTTTAGGAGATATTCTAAAGATCACATCAAATAAACACGTATTCGAACGAACTACCGACAAGTATATTTTATGTGAAATAATAACTTTAATTGAATTGGAAAAAGTTTTTAAATTAAAAGAAAAGGTAAGCAGTAGAGTATTTACTTTGAAAATTTTTATATTTTCGAAAATTCTAATCACGTTATTATAAAGTATTTTCAAAATTATAAAACTTTTATTCAAAATATTTTTGTATTTCTCTTTGTTTCGGCGATATTTGCTCAAGAACGAGAAAATTTTCAAGAGAATGTGTCCTTAAAACTCTTTATCAACCAACAAGAAATTAATTTGTCATTAAATCTATGTTTGAGTCTACTTTATGCATGCAAATTTCAGTCTTTTTTATTTTATACTTGCCAGATTTCTCTTGTGAGATGTTTGAATGTCGTTAAATTAGTTTCTTTAAATTTAATCAGCTATGATGTAGTCTGAGTTATGAAAAGTCTAATAGACATTTTAATTCTCTCTAAAAAAGGTGGCTTTCTTATAATAAAGATAAATACTTACGTGATTTTGCATTGCGAACCATTTTCACGCAGCATCCGTTACATGTCATCAGCGGTGGCTGGTCTCTGGGTAGTGCCGTATAGTTGAAAGGATCTTTGCATCTGAGATCTGTCCATGAATCGCATTCGTAGCAGTAAATGGAACGAGCTGTAAAACAAATGCGCTTTTAAAGACCATGTTTTCTCTTTATCGCACTTGGGGAAAAATGTACGAAGTCAAACAATATATAATCTTTCTATGATAGACACTTATTTTTAACAATGTTAAATTTGTTTACAGATTCTTGCTTTCATTTAGTGTTAAACATGATTCTGATTGTTTAACAAAAGTAATTAATAATTTTTAATAATAATGAATAACTTTTAACCAAATGTGATGTATATTCAATGAATATTATAAACATTTATAAATGACAAGCTTATCAATAAGCTATATTTAGCACTTTATTATACATACATATATATATATATATATATATATATATATACACACATATATTACACAATTTCCCGAGTGCACATTTTTTATGTAAGGTTTCATGTAGCAATGAGCGCGGTTATAAATTCTAAAAGTAAAATATTAAGCATCGTTCGCTTTCATGGCACGACAGACAATACGTTTCGGTAATGTGGTTATGTTCGATGAAATTAGATAAGAATAGAATTAATTTGTTTTAATTGCTGAGCGGCATTTATTACAATTTACAAAGATCCGTTATAATTTATCAAAATTCAATAATCAAAAATATATTTAATTATTGAAATAACTGTATGTTTTAGCAAAACGTTTTTTGATACAATTTTTGTTCCGTTCGAAGCGAGAGCAATCTCGATCGGATAACTCTCGTTAAAGAACACTTTTTCACCCTGAGATGGACATTCTGATAAAATCAAGTCTTTTGGCCGCAAACGCATTGAGCTTCATCGAACGTTATAGAGTCCTTAGCAAACGATAACACGGTACGAGCATACCGAGGAGAGTAAGCTGGCTTAATCACTCACTCTGGCACTCCGCATGACAGACGGTGGCAACCGCGAGTACAATTGCCGCTGAAAATGAAAGATTCGTTATTGCTTTAGGCAATGTGTGTTGACATTGCGCGCAAGTAGCTAGCTTAAGTAACTTGGTGTTATCTGTGGTAACGCAAGCAACAGGACTAACGCTATTATATAACGACTACGATAATTATAACTATCATTACAACTACTACCATCTGCATAGCGCGGCTCTAGCATATCGGTATTAATGATGTTGGAGACTGCTGATAATTGTGCTAGCTAATAATGCTATCCGATTAATAAAAAAAAAATTCGCACGACAGTCAGTCCATATTTTTCTGTTTGCTGAATAATTCTAATCTTTTTGTGCTTTTGTTTTTGTAAATTGTAAAGTATACATGTAAGAATTGATAACAAAGAATAGAATATAGAAGTATAGGATGTAAAATTGACATTCATGCAATGTAATTAGAAGGTACACAGTACAGAAAAATATACAGTAGTAAATGATAATATCTGGGAATTTAGAAATCAAACTTGCTCGTACACAATTTTAAAAGAGTTTTGAGACATGTTAAGTTACAAAATGTAAGTACGCTGAAAAATTTTAAGAAATAATTTCTCACATATCTTAGATATTTTAATACACAGTGTGAAAGACCAAAAAGTTAACAATTTTATAAAAGTTGTATCAATATCAATAATTGCATTTTATTCATTATATTTATAATTTGCCATGCAACATAAGGCAATTGCTGTAATTATTGTTTGTACAACCGAATTATACTATGTAACACTGTAAGAGGTAAATGAACTAAATTGATATTCTTACACTTAGAAAAAAAGCCATAGTGGTTGCCACCTATATACATAGCAACTTCATACATTAATTCTATTATACATATAAATTTTATATATAAGTTTTATATGTAGAATTAATATACGTAGTTGAATAAACTACATATTTTATAATTATTGTGACAATTAAATAATTTATTTAAGTATACATTAGTTTTTTTAACTGTATAGGTATACTACATAGGTACACTATAATTCTACTTATTAAACTCGTATAGTTGTCATCTTTATAGTTGCTATGCTTTTCTCTAAGTATGCTTGTACAGTACTTTGATAGTTATTGTATAGATATTTACAGAATCTGTTATTATTGAGAAAAGGTTTATCTTACAGGATTCTCTAGGGTAATAGAATACCGAGTAAAAAATATGTGTAGAAGATATATATAGGAGTATACAAAAATACAGAACAGAGTAGAAAAGAAATGAAAAAAGCACGAGTGGTGTGCAGCAAATATAAAAATATAGGTAAACTAAAGATAATAAAAGTAAATGCTTTTGCAAGTATACTTATATGTAAAACTATTACATTTTGCAAGTTTCTTCGCGAATGAAACATTCAGCAATAATTGTCTATATCAGTGAAACAAAATAATTTGGAGATGACTGACGCATTTTTTCGAAAATACCTTCGCATTTGACTTGAAATACAAAGAACTTAAGTTTTAAATATAATTTATAAAATTTTATATCAAAATTATTGACTTGTTAATTTGTTAACAATTCGTACTATAATATATACGAAAGGTATGTATAATATCAACCTGTATCTTTATTCCTTATATAATCCTTTGTATTTCTCAAATGTAATTTTTCTTCATGAATCTTACGTACGTAAAACGTGTCCACGTACCTAGCAGCATGGAAGCAGCGGCCATACGCGTGTTGATTGATCTAATATATAACACCTATGATTTCTAGATCGTAAAACTCAGTAATTGCAAAATCATAACCAACTGGGACGATCAGATTTTCATGCTAATAAATATTTTGACGTATAAGCCACAATTATACATCACAAATATACACTATGCAAAAAAATTGAAGGATCACCTCAAATCCGTTCTCAAAAATAGATAAATATTCAAAAGAATGTAACTTCGTCAAAAATGATCATAATGAGATTTCTAAAAAAGCATTTTAAAGATTGAAAATATTTATTTTCAAGATCGATAATTGATACTTCGATCTGATTGATTTTTTACGTAGCTATACGAACAGAAATGAGTATCTGTCAGATCTGAAAATTTTGTACAAATTTTACGAAGATCTATAGCGTAAACTAAAAATCGCACACAAATACTGTTTACAGTAGTCAAGAGAGTGAATCTTTATCTTCAATTTGCTTTTTTATTGAACGTTGTACGATTTTTTTTCACCGAGTTATTCAACATTGAATAAGAAATAATTCCTTTTACTTCAATGTTAAATAATTTGATGAAAAAAAATCGTACAATGTTCAATAAAAAGCAAATTAAAGATGAAGATTCACTCTTTTGACTAAACAGCCTTTGTGTGCGAGTTTTAGTTTACACTATAAACCTTCGTAAAATTTGTACAAAATTTGAGGATACCCATTTCTGTTCGTATAACTACGTAAAAAATCAATCAGATCAAAATATTAATTACTGATCTTAGAAGTAGATATTTCAAGCTTTAAAATGCTTTTAAAAATCTCGTTATGATCATTTTTGATGAAGTTACACTCTTTTGAATATTTATCTATTTTTGAGGACAAACTAGGTGATCTTTTAATTTTTTTGCATAGTGTATATTTGTATTATAACTTTTGTGCTCAAAATTATTTTAACATTAAAAACAGAGGTTTTGTACTCTGGATATATATGAATTTTTGGAATATATAAATTTTTCTGTCCGAATTTCAAGCAAGAGGATTATAATAGTTGTTTCAATTTTAAAGAATAAATCTAGTTCAATATGATATTTGTGTAAGATAGAAGCCCTACTTCAGTTCGACACAATTTACATTTATATAATAGATATTATCTTCTTAAAATATAGCAGAATCTTTCAGAATTAAATGGAAAGTCTATCGAGAACGCACGTACACTCACCCACTAGCAAATGATTCGTCCACATGCTGATAGCAGCGGGATGTCCTTTGTTTAGCTTCGCGTCATGACAAAACTTCCTTAAACATTGAATAGCGTAACGCCCGATTAGCACGAGCTGATCCAACCGTATATTTCAAGCCGAATATTCTCTGAAATTACGAATCAGTTTTTTCAAATTAAATTTAGGACAGTTCTTTAAAGATGCATAGATCAAACTGACACTGTAGTATCATTAATAATAAATATTTTTTATTAAATTTATTAATTTTAACAAATATATAAAATGAGGCTCGAAAGAATCTATCAGTGAAAAATGTAAAAAAGCCCATTAGAGCCTACATCAGCTGTTCAGATGCACAGAAAATTCTTTATTTTCGTGTAAATGTAACAAAATGAATAAAATAAACGTTTCGTCTCTTCAATTAGGGTCCTTATCAATATAAAATATAAATCGAAATTACATAAGTAACGCAAATTCCAAATTGATGATTCCCGACAATTTAGTTCGTTCTTCTTTATCTAAATGCCAAATTAGATAAAGTAAAACCGAAGTTATATATATTGCGTCACTAAGTGGAATCACATCGCTTATCAGGTTGTCAGATTTGATGTAAGCGTTTTCTCGCGACTCGATGTAAAGGTCTTGTGGTGTCAAAATGAAAACAGAGATAAAGAAGAACGAACTAAATTGTCGGGAATCATCAACTTGGAATTTGCTTATGTAATTTCGATTTATATTTTATATTGATAAGAATCCGAATTGAAAGGTCGAAACGTTTATTTTATTCGTTTTATTACATTCACACGAAAATAAAGAATTTTCTGTGCATCCGGACAGCTGTAGGCTCTGATGGGTTTTTTTTACATTTTTCACTTTATTAATTTTAAGTTACTCTAAATGGGAAAGTAGCTGTACAATTATACAATTAAAATTAAAGTAACTACTCAAGATTAATCTTTTATACTCAGCTGTTTTAAATATAACAATGTAATAATACTAACAAATTGTAGTTACATTCAGATAATTTGTTTTATAAATTCTGTAAATAAACTTGTTTTAATGTGATAATATGTTTCATTTTAATTATATATTTTTTTATATTAGAATTTTCTGATGCTGGAAAGTATTTTGCTCATTTTGTTGATAACATTGAATTAATGTTAAATAAAAGTTAATTAAATTTGTCAGTTTTTTTTAAATGTTGATATATTAATTATTGTTAACATTTGATCACTATAAATGCATACTTACTCATTCTAAATTTATATAGTAACACGAACCTATTTGAGAATTGTCATAAAAAGAGCATGCTTAATTTAAGGCACTTAGCAGTTCAGTAACATAATTGCGCACTAAATTATTTAACAGAACTTAATATTATGATATTATAAATTATTAATTAATTTTGTAACATTTAGTTGTAACTTTAAATATTTATATCCTAAAAAATGTTTATACTTAAATTATGGTATTAATTACTTAATATTTTGTTTATGAAAATTAAATAGTATATTCTACGATATAAGATATATATTTTTTAAATAAATGTGTAATTATATTGTAAAAAAGTGAATTAAGACAAGTAGTAATAAAAATTACACGCACACTCATATGTAACAACAGTTATGTAATCATAATTGTTGGAATAATGAAAAAGGAATATAAAAATAATTTTTTGTTATTTATTTTAATGTTTCTAAAAAATAAAAATACTCTACTTTTTCTATTAAAAAATTAATAAATATATATTAAAAAGTACTTTCTATTTTTTAATCAATATCAAGGGAATACTTATATTTCTTTCAAATCAACTTTTTCGAAATTTTTCCAATTTAATTCAACAAGTTAAATTCTTTGTATTTTATGTGTTATATATTTGTGTGCAAAATATCTAGATTATTTTACATTAATAATAACTTAATTAAACAATATTTAACCAACTACAATCAAAATATGAAGTAAAACTGCATAAAATTTGAAATACTTCACTTGAATCTGTGAAACAAATCGAAGCAGATTTAACACATTCATGTACCTAATCGTGTTCACGAATCCCACATACTTTTATTGAACCACGGAATCTGGAAATGTTGATTTTCTTGTGACAACACTGGCGTTGTTTTTAAACGATGTCTGGAAAACAAAATCTAATTTTTTAAACGAATTATTATCATTTCTCTCGTGTCGTGATTTCAGATTTGATTCTCTGACTTTCTAATGAAATCCGTCATTGCTCTGTGCTTATTATACCTCTTTCTAGCTTAGACACCCTGGCGTGTCTATCGACGAGTCTATATCACCTGATGTATAGCGACGGCGAAACGCACATAACGAGGTTACAAGAATATGCAGCACGATGCAGTTCGCGAAATGCCACGATGCGAATATGCGGTTGCGATTACACTGTAAATGCAGCGTACAAGTGTTTTCAGGGTACTGGCAAGCGCGCTAGTCAACGCGCCGACCAAAGCATAGATTCAGGTCGATCAATATGACACCGTCGGCCATCCGTACCACGTGCTCACGTTGCGGCAACTGTACCGACGAAGCTGCTGCTGCTGCTGCTGCTACTGCTGCTGCTGCTACTGCTGCTGCTACTCTTCGACAAGAGCTTGTACAATAGTTTTCGCTGATAGCATTCAACGTGAAGTTTTATTCAACCAATTGTACAATTGATGTTAAAGTAGCCAAAGAAAGTAATAGTAATAATTCCCCATCAAGATCGATCCTTGAGACAGCGTTTGTGCACCAAAGTGTTCTTTATCTGCAAAGCTACTAAGTTGAAATAATTAGTGATAATTGGAAATTTTCTTCGACTAAATATACTAGAAAGATAAATGGATAAATATCAAAGAAAAGATGTGTTTAACTCTAACAGAAGTATATTCTGAAAATGTTCAAAGAACATCAAAATGATATGTTACTAGTATTCCTAGAATATTCGATACATGTACTAATATACGTACTTTGTATAAACTGAGTATGTGAGTTCTTGTCTGAGCTCTACAGTGGTTTAAAGTATACACTACAAACATCCTGTAGTACTTATATATATAGAATCTTCCATACATTTTTCCAGTATATCTGTATATCACGTATATCACGTATACGCAACCTCGTGCACGCTTGCGCATACGCGTACACACATATTTCCCCGCTTTGCATGAAAAGTTGGATGACAGGGGAGGAGGTACCAAATGGACTGACTAAGGGTGATCGACTTTCCGCGCGAAGCGAGGTTCACCCCATAGCACTCCTTGCCTAGAGTCATCCGATTTTTTATGCAAAGCGAGGAAATAATAAAGAACTTTGATTGTTAATAACTTTTTAACGAATAACAAGCGACGACTAAAACCTGTTGGAGGTCACGACCTTGACAACATTGGCAAGATTAAAATTATCGAAGCTGGCTCCTCTAATTTAAATATTTACTGCATATCTTTGTAGCTTATCTCGAAAGCTCTTTAAAACACTATGACAAAATATTATTTTATTAAGTACTTTTTGAGTTATAAGGCTTGAAAGCAGAACCGCCAATATTAGCATTATCTAAGGTATTCAAGAGATTGAAACTTTTAAAATATTGTTCAATGTTATGACTTTAATAACATTGTCAAAATCAAAACTTTTGGCGTTTATTCGTGTATTAACAATGTTACAAATAATGCGTTACTTCTATTCCCTGTATACACACAGCAAAAAGAATTGAAGTTTTGAATTGAAGAATTGAAGAACTAATCATATTAAAATTAATACGTGTATAAAAATTACGTTTGTATGCATTGATATAATGGATAATCCAGTCGGAGTTCGATCATCTTTCATTTTCTTAATAATTTATTTCTTCGAATAGAAACCACGGACTGACTTAGGAGTGCGTTCGGGACGCTTTAGTATTATTGTGTTATTCTATCTTCATCTTTCATTAGATGTAAAACAACGATAGAATGACACAAGTAAAATAGTACTAATCGTCTGCCTGAACGCATCCTAGGATAATTTTAGAAAATTTAATACTTTTTGAAGACAAAAGATCGATTGAGTATATATTTGATGACCATTGATTATATTTGTCACTTGGTGATCTTTTTCGTAGATATATTTTGTATGTTTTCGAACAGTATTGCAAATATATATAAATAAAGTTCACATTTTGTTCGACTTTAGAATTATTTCTAAAGTTGATGATGATACAGATCCTCATGAGAAAAAGAAATTTACAGGACGTAGAAGATATACATATAATATTTACGTATACACGTTTTAATATACTTTTAAGATTTATAGGACAACAAAGGAACGAAGTATACACAATATATCTATGCGTAAATGATAATTAATAAGCCATTAAGCGTTTCATTATGTTGTGCATTTATTAATTTTATACGTTTGTTACGTACACAATGCACTTTATAACTTTGACAATTACTACAACTGTTCTAACTAACAACATAAACTACATAAATATTAAAAAGAAGACGACTATTAATTATTTTAACTAATCTTTTAATATCTTTTTATTTTTATAGGATATTAATATACAATCAATAATCTAATTTGTGTAAATGTAATTATATTACAATAAAAAAAAACAAATTATATTTTTAAATAAAAATATAAATACATTAGTTGAATAATCTTAACAAAATGTATAGAATATATGCACTTACTTATAAAAAATACAGAATTAATTTTCTATAATAATTTTGTATTGTTCTAAAATTTGCTATGCCCTCGAATTTCGAAATTTATTTACCAAGATGATGTAATTTATTTGTTATTCCACTTAATATTTAACTTAATTTGCTAACGCGATATATTGTAAAAATAATTTTAAATTGATAAATCTGCGAAAATATAAGAATGGCTTCGAGTGCTCATACGCTCTTTAACGTATGAAGAATACTTTTGGACTAATTACTGACGTTTAGAGTAGTGACCACATTTTCTGCAGAGCTCCCCCTTGCCATCGTCTTCTTTATTTTCTTTCATTGACTTTTTTCTCAAAACTCGGACAGGCACTAGATCGCCTGTATAAGGACGATGTCCAAAAGCAGCTATAGTTTCACTTCTAGGAAAGCCTACATCGGCCGAAGCAATCGTCACTGTGTCATCGCCATTATCTTTAGCACCAACATTGATGAACGAACCATTCGTTACTGTATAACTCGAATCGCTCTTCGAGACGGATGATTCCCTCTCAGTTGTTTCGGAATTATCAGAATCCTCCCAATTTTTGTAAACAATTGATTTATCTGAAGATCATAAATTTCATAGTGTACGCTTCTTTTATTATTTATAAAATAATGGGAACGTACCATTTTCAGATTCCATTGCATCAAATATTGATTCGCTTAATCCGGCATCTTCATCCTCTTTCATTAATGATAATTCGGAAGGAGAATCCGAGAGTGGACGGCTGCAAACATATCCCTAAGAAACAATATCATTTAGATAATGTTATACTTATTTCGTAAACCAAAAGATACCAAAATATGATAAAAATAAAAATTATCAGTTGATTTAAACATACCTGAACGAGATCCATACGAGAATCCAGCGAAAATTGTTTACCTGACATTAATATTCCGCGAATACGACGACGTATGGCTGAAATAAATAATAAAATAACAAAATATAATAATATTAGCTAATGTCTTAGACATGATGATTAGATTATCTTAAAAATAATATATATTGGCTTCAATAACATTTCGAAAATTAAATAAAGTCAAGAGAATCCACGCGTATACATATAATTTTCAAATAACTATTGTAAAGCATGTAACAAAGTAGTGAGAAACACCAGAATTTGAAAAAATTACACCGTTTAATTTACTCTGTACTGACAATCTCTTGATTTTTGATTCATCTACGGTCAATTGATTTGATTCATCTATGGTCAATTGATTTGACTCATCTACGGTCCAATCATATTTTATCTTGCCTGAAGTGGCGGCCGAACGATTGACTCGCGCTACTCGCATCTATGGATGCGTTCCTAACGCATGAAACGCACGATGTATCATTGCATCTTTCTCTATTATTCGGTGAATAACAGTGACAAATGACGCATCATGCGCTTTATACGCAATTCGGAACGCACTCTATATGTAATAACTTTCATGTATGACGCTCGTTTTACTATTTTTATGCCCTTGTCATCGCAAACTACCGCGTCTCTTGATGCAAGATACTACTGATCCATTGTGATCAATCATAAAATCACTTACGATGTGTGTGTGTGTGTGTGTGTGGGTGTGTGTGTGTGTGTGTGTGTGTGTGTGTGTGTTCTTATTAAAATCATATAATCTTTTTTTTAATCGAACGACGGCAATAATAATAAAGAAATTTATATAATTATTTTTTTCCAATTAAAGATAATAATGGATGAATAAATATTTACCTGGGCTATCTTTTGCCTCAAGATGAATTTTCCCAAAAGTTTTCATGCATTCTTCAAATACATCAGCCGTGTCATATATAGCAGCAAAACTACCGTTTACAATTTTCGGTGACATTGGTGAATTTGCTAATAATAAACTCGATCCAAAATTTTCATTCTTCTGTCGTGTATCTATAAATTATCGAAATTGATTACATATTTCGTAGCAACGTTAAATATAAGTTAATAAAAACCTAATAAATATAAATTTAATTCTGTTACGCGAAAATTATATATTTATAATGACTCACCTTTAATAAGTGTAATATGTGCGAAGTGTGGAAGCAATCGTGTGTTCATAATAACGAAAAAATAACAACTTATTGTGTATAAGCGTAATAAAATTATTTATTTAATCGCAAAATCATTTTTATCACTACTTAATAAAAGTAATAAATGCAAATCAATGATTAAATTTGAAAAATATAGAGGAAAGTTTCCTCTATATTTTTTTTTTCCAATACTGATAAATCCCCGATACTGATAAATCTCTTAAAGAGATATTCTCTTGTTTCTCGGAATTTAACTATTGTATTTTATTAATACTGATAAAAACATAATCTGTTTACATAATTAAAGAAGTAAAAACTCATAGTTTATATATTTGTGATTTGTTTTTGTAAAAAAATCTAAAAGTGAATTCTACAAATGAAAAAATAAAATTATTGACTTTCTTTTACAAATTGCAGTTTAAATAATAATGTAAATAATATTTTTAGCTTTAGGTGAGTCTTCATTGTCAAAAAATAGTTTAACGTTATTGTCATTATCAATTGCTATTTTCTGTTAAGCTGTCTGAAGCTGTTTTAGTCTCGGCTCGATATTACCTGCGAGAGGAACTCTAGCTCGTATAGGTGATCGAGCAGTATCACCCAAGATTTCATTAGCGGTACTTCGTATTTCTGCCCAATCCCTTAGAATATCTTCATTTGTCGTGCTGAAAATACCAGATTTTATTTGAAAAGCTCATAAAATCCATTAAGTGCATTAGAATTATCAGTGTGACAAGATTGACAAGAATAACAAATATATTCAGAGAGCTTTAATTCTTGAAGGACTTTCTCTACTATATATATAGAATAGAGAGATTGTTTAGAGAAATTGTTTTCATTCATTTTAATCCAATATGATTACATGAATTTATTATGAATATTGAAAAATAAACATATATATATAAAAAGACATACTTTGTAGAGGTAACTGTAAATCTGATAACATATTTGCCGTGCAAAGCTGCTGGCACGCAATGTAATCGACCCCGCGAATTAAGCTTCTTTAGCAAACGTTCTGTCAAAGTGTTCTCTCCGAGAAGACGAAAAACCACCATGCCGAGATGCCTCGGAGCGGGAATTTCAAAGCGAGCATCGGCCAAGACCAGAGCTTCGAATTTCTGTGCCAGTCTCACGCCCTATAAATTTCGGACTTATATTATACATTTCTATGTAACAAATGAAAGAAGCGTTAATTAAATTTAAAATATTTCCCTTTCTAAACAGCTTTTATTAGATTTAATTTTTTGATAAAAAAAATGTTTATTTTACATTATTCACCTCTCGTATATGTTTCTGCAAGCCAGTAATTCCGTAATTCCTGATAACGAACCACAGTTTTAAAGCCCGAAATCTTTTGGATAGAGGAATTTGCCAATGCTGAAATTAACATTAAAACCAAATTATGTTTTATATTGTTAAGTCTATACATTCTTTCTTTTAAAAAATATAATAACTCTAAAAAATGTTATTGTAATTATAAAAATAAATTTTCCTTACAGAGATATATAATTATTTTATTTTAAATTTTTTTTATAAAATATACTATTATATACCATATAATCACATATTATTTACCATATAATCAATCGCAAGACCTATTAAAAGAAATGTTTATTATATAGTGTTTGCTGGTATCTAGATAAAATCATCTCGATAATCTAGATGAAATACCTTCATTTTATTTTTACTAGAATATACATTATCTTCATCTGTGCCTCAGATAAAAAAAATGTTATATTTTCAAATTATGTAGATAATCGTCTTTTTTCAAATTCTCTAAGATGAAAATTTAATTATCTAGGTAATTTTATCCGGATACCAGCAAACACTGATTATATTATTATATCGAAAATATTAAAGTCATACGTTATTATATTGAAAAATTTAAAAGAAATGATTTATACTATTTTAATTTGGAAATTTTATATTTTATAGATTAGATATATTAAAATTAAATATAATTTTTATATATAAATAAATTTTAATTAATGAAAAAAATTAAAAGATCTAAAATAGAAATCTAACAACAATTAATTGACTTTCTCTAATGACTAAATTTTATACGACAAGCACAAACTCCTTTAATAATTTATTACTAACCTATTAAATTATTAAATTACCTGAATTTTCATGCTTTAAGTATAGTGGATCGACATTAAAAGTTCTGTGTAGCGCTTGACTGTTCTTTACCCTGAAACAAATAAATAAAAAGAAAGAATTTACTTAATTTCTATTTAATCTAATCTTTTCTTTAATATATCTTTCATTTATATTTATTATTGTTTGATAAACATGAAATATTTAGTTATTACTTCTTTTACTTGCTTACATTTTCTGACACAGTCTATTTATCACAATTATTAGAGAAATGTAAGTGTGCGTTATCACGAAAAAATGAATAATCTTTTGTAAAAAGTTTATTAATTAATTATTCCTAGTTATAATGACAATAACAATACAGATTCTTTATTGCAGATTTTTTAACACATTTATCAAAAATCATGATCATTATTTTATACCTTATTTCGTTTTTATAATTATCGTAATTTTTTATGGTTCACAAAATGGTTCTGCTTTTTAATTAGATAATTAGTAATTAATTAAATATTTGCGTAAATAAAAGATAATATACATTAATAAATACATACTAACATCAAACGTCATAAATCACGTTACTTAGCACTATCGACTTTAAACGCAATTGAAATAACATTCTGAATCTGAAAGACTATGAACTGTTCGATTGTTGAACGGCCTCGAAAGGAAATTGCGGAAGGAACAAAAAAAGATGACCCTACCTCTATAATCCAACTGCAATAAAACGAAAATTGAACGATAGATAATCTTGAAAGGCACGTGGCTACTTTCCCAACATTACGATCACGCACAATCAATTATTAATATAATTCATAAAAATTGGTTGTTGTGGTCGATTTTTCTTACAAATATAATTATAAAATGTAATTTATAAGAATTGCAAGCTGTGGTCGATTTACCTTACAAATTACAATTAAATATAAATTTAGTTATTCCAGTCAAATTTATATTTATTATGTGAATATCTTGTTATGCTTGTGAATTAAAAAATTTATTAACTTTTTAAAACTATTAACTTTTAATCCATGAAAAAATGGTTTAATAATAATATTGGTTTAAAAAAAAAAATATTATATATAATATTATATATATATATATATATATGTACCACATAGCTGTACAATCGAAATGGACCATGAGCCATTTGCTAGGATTAAAGGCAATAGAATCAGTGAACTCTACTCCCTGAAGCCAACTTCGAAATTCCGGACATATGAAAGCACTACCAGCGTAGGCTGCATCAACGTGCAACCATAAACCATTTTGTTGACCTGTAATAATTACATAAAAAATTTGCAAACGTTATAACGTTTTATGACATATTCCAAAAGAATTAGCAATAATGTTGAAATTGACATTCAAAAATGTATTCAAATAATAATTTCAAATTTTCGTACTTACATATCGGTCCAATTTCTTTCAGATTATCAAAGGAACATGCACCAGTTGTGCCTAAAGTTGCGCATACCTATACAAATAAAAGAGTCTTCTATATATTGTGTAGAAAAGAAAATTTTTTTAAATATAATTAGTTTTTTAGTTATATTGAGTTTACAAGAAAAAGTTCTTTGTTTTGTAACTTCTTTAAAACAGTATAATTTTGTCAAAAAAATCGTGGAAAAATATTCACCATATAGATTTGTTTGGAAATAAATAAGCTTAAAGACTCATATATTTTTATGCTTGACAGCCAATTCTCTGAGCAATGCAATAGTTTGAAGAAGAAATATTTTTTCCTATCTTTCAATGTCTGTTTTCATTGTCCACCATTTTGTAATTCAAATTTTATTCTCATAGTTATCAAAGAGAATGTTTAAACTTTAATTTGAGCTTTGGTTTATTTCACTACGATTTTCGCTGAGTTACCGCTATTGAAAAGTATTAAAAATTGATCTAATAGTGTCCCGTTTTTTTTACGAGCAAGTATATTTCTTATAACGCTAAAAACATATAATATTTAAAAAATATAGATTTTATATCAAATAAATAACATTTGAAACTATATAAAACGCACATATAATAATATCACAATAAAATTATTATATATTCACAGTAACCCAATTCATTTCAAATTTAATTTTTTTTACTTTTATTAATGTTACGTATTATTGTTATAACTTCTTTATTGTTTTTAAAGACTAATTTTAAGAAGAAATATTTGCATTTGATCACATAGGTATTATATCGATTGTCAAAAAACATATAATTAGCGAAATAAATTCAGGCAATATTATTATTACATTGCGAAAAATCACGATTATAAATATTTTTCGTTCTAAACAAGCTTGCAAGACTCAAATTACGAGCTAAAAAGCTCCTATGGGACCAACTAGTGCGACGTCGATCCGGCTTTGTTCGTCGAATCCGTGCGTCCGTTACTACTTGCAGGGAATACGTCTATAATTGGCGCACCGGTCCGTCTATACCTATACCTAGATTACTAGGCTCTTGCGCCCACAATGTTAGTAACCGCGGATTTCGTTGTCTCTATATTTTTATTAAATCTACTGTATTACTTTCGTTATGACTTATACGTGACAGCGGAGTATTATAACAAATTCGTAATAAGAGGATCATATAGGAAAATAAGAATAATAGTTTAGAAAGAGTATATTAATAGGAACATTCCTCTTATAAAACTAATGAACTACAGAACAATAATATGTTATTATACTATGCATAAAATTATAAATTTGGAAATTATGAGCAAAATAAGATTATATATATTTAATAAAATTTCAAAAACCAATGATATTAAATGTATCTAGAAAAAAATAAATGCAATAAGTCAAAATTAGTATCAGAATATTCAGATTATATTTAAGAAAAACAACATTAGGAAAACTTACAAAGAAAGGAAGCAGGCCCTCAGCTCGGTCACGTGTTAGTGACTCAAGTAAAGCATCTCCTCTCATGCTTAATTCACTGTCAGATTTAATATATCGCATTCGAACTAATCCTATAAGGCCAGCTTTCTCCACACTTGAATGTGCCTATAAATAAATAAAAATATTTTATGAGAGATAAAAATTTTTCAATTATTATTAAACTCTTCACTTTTGTCCCGCAGATTCTAATAAATTACGTAATATGACCATTAATTGTTAATCTTTAATATACACGACTAGGTCATTTATATCTTCAGTGTTTTTTTTTCCTTGAAATATTAAAAACATCAAATATTAAAACATCATAAATAATGATATACAGTGTGTAACTAAAATAAGGTAAACTTTGGGGCCAAGCAAAATATTCCCTCCAAAATATAAAAAGAAATTTATATGAATATATCTGCCAACTCACTGTTACTGATATACAGCTCAGAATGTTTATTAATAGGGGAAAATAAAAAAGTAATATCTTCGTTCATCCATATAATGTGTCCAAGTGCATTTTAAAAAGCTCTCAAAGGAACGCTAAAAGTTTAAAATTTTCATTCGCCGCAATACGCAGTATTCAACGTTTTTCTATTATCATTCATTATTTCTGCTTGCTACTTTCGCGATTGCTCCCAGTGGTCGCACACACATATTTTTAAATAAAACATCATGAGAATTTGCACTGCTACTTGATCATCTAGGTACATTTATAAACTCATTATTTATAAACTCAGCATAAAGTAATGGTTACAAACCTGATCCGAACAGTATGCAACTAGACGCGAATTAATCTCTGTCGCCAAACAGTCAGGATCGTTTTCCTGCACATCTCTAATAGCTCTGGTTCTGGCTGCAAGCAAACACACCAACGTGGCTTCTGAAGCCGTCGTTTGTATGACGCCACCGCCACCAGAGCCGCCCGATTGATGAAGAAAATCTTCGGGTAGACCGATCATTTTACCTAACCAATTCATAATGATCGTTTCTAACTCAGTACACGCTGGACTGGAAGCCTATGGAAATAATAGTATTAAATTTAAAATCATATTAAGATGATCATTTCAACTTTTAAAGATTTGACTTTTAAAGGTTAAAGGATAAAATTGTTCGCATAATAATGTTCATATAATTTTTTTTTATTAAAGAAGAGATAATTAAAACGCAACTATATGTAGAGTCGTACCGACGGTTAAATCATACTTCCATTGTATTTTCGAAACAAAACATTTTTTCTTAAAGGTAATGACATGAGTTATAATACTAATAACATAGCTTAAGTACTCTCATTTTTGTTTTGTCTTCGAGCCACGAGTGACATTCAAAATTGATTTTAATCGGTCTCTGATCTAAGATTTCGTACAATTTATCTATATAAGGTTATTAATATAAAGTAAACAATTGAATTATAATATAGAGTACTCAGTTATAATCGATATTTAAACTTTTTTTTTTAGTATAGCATCAAATTAACTTATTAATTAAAAATATTTGTAAGTTATGTTGCTGTTGGCATATTTGTAAAAATAGAGAGAATTTAGATTTTTTTGTAAAAATTAATGATTATTTATTAAAAGTACGATTTAGGATTTAGGAACTCAATTTAATCATCCGGTCTCCAAATTGTACCGAAATCTACTTCTTTTTAATCTGATATAAACAATAATTCAATATTTATTTTTGTAAAAATGTATTGTTTTATTGCTAATATATAAAAAAAGTATGATGTAAAGATAGAAATATTCTGATCTCTTCAGTACTTTTGTTATAATTTTGTTTAAACTTTAAGGGGCACAATATAAGCGATTTTCTTCTATAAGATAAATTTTAAATTATAAAAAATATAGGTTTTATAAATTATATTAATGCAAATATTTATTCGGAATTAATTTATTCTGAAAAAAATGTTGTGCAAAATGTTCTATTATAATTTCAAATTTTAGTCAAAAGACACCTCAATTAACTTAAAACATATTGTTAAATTGTTTGCGGAATGACGAAAAATATTATTAAAAACACGTTAATATTTAATGTTAAATACAAAAATATTAAATTAAAAATAAATGCGTAAAATTGCGCTTACCCACGTAAAACCCAGACAGTTTATTGCGTCGGCCAGCATGTCGCCCAGCAGACTAGCAGGTGAATTCAGAGCTGGAAAGTAGGCGTGCATGTGCGGACTCTGCCAGTGCGTCACACCCGGCATAATGCATTTCTCAACGTCGGCGAATATGTCCTCCCAGGACTCGCCGTCTACAGGGGCCGACGCCGGCAGAACATTTCTCAAGTATCCCGGCGAGACCGCTGGATATACTCGTCGAGATCGGATGTCTCTCAGATAATCGGCGATATAATCTACCATTTCCTTTCCTGCATAATTTTTGAATTTATAATCATTCTAAGTTATTGTGTACAATATCTAACAAATACATTACTATATGTAAAATCCACTCTCTTACAAATTATGCATCTCAATTTAAAAATTGCTGATTAATTAATTATATTTTTACAGAAATAATAATTTAAAAAAATTGGATAATATATAGAATGTGCACTACTTAACAAAAAATAGGAAACATTTTCAAAACGCTTAAAATTGCATTATTTTGAAAATCAAATTACCAAAACTCGGTGAAATATCATCACAGACAAAAAAATGAAAGAACATTTTAAAGTTTAAAATTTCCACATGTTTTTGGCCATTTTTCAAAAAATTTATATCTTTATAGTTCTGTATCTTAGCAAAGATCACAATGTTATATTCCTTAAAATTATGTACATTCAACAATCTACAGATGGATAAAAAATTTTTTCTCAAATAGTTTAATATTTTTAATATTAATTAAATATCATTTTGAAGATCGTGATGTGAACAACACAACAATTAAGAAATAAAGGATAAGCGGTCAAATTGGATCTTAATGCTAAACACAATTCCATGAATTTATGAACAACAATTCCAATCTCGTAAACTGCACGCTGAAATTATTTTGAAACGTAATCAGAAACGTAATCAGAACTAAAGTAATAATATCACAAATTAAATTGATAAGCAATTTAATAATACTGATGCTCATAGGCATCTTTATAATAATCTTTAAGCATCTCAAAATCTATAAATAATTTTACTGCGTTGTGAAAAATATTATACCTCAGCCGGATATTGAATCCATTTCGTGCGAGCGTCATCATCGCTAGATCATCGAAATCTTAGTAATATTTTTTATTAAAATTTTTACAAAAAAGTACAAAGTTTTACTTGTAAAATATCTTTTTTTTTTAAATTTGTTTACAATTTTCCTTATCCGAATTAAATTTGAAGCTGCATTTCTTATTACCAACGTTGAAATTTAGTAAAAAATCATTGCAAAAATTTTTTGTTCCTCCAATTCTACAGAATTAAATTTAAAAATGATCAAATACATGTTAAAATAAAACTTTGAGCTTAAAAATACCTTTTTAATTTTTTTCGTCAAATTTTAACGTTGATTATAAAAGGTTTAATTTCACAGTCGCATTATTCAGTCAAGAAAAAAAAAATTGTATAAAAACTTTTAAAACATCATTTGGTAGGAAAAACTCTGTACTTTTTTTTTGTAAAAGTATTAATTCTTTTAAAAAAAAATTTTTATCAATTTGCAGACTATTGATTGTACATAATTTTTAAATAACACACAATGTAATCTTTTTTAAAATATAAACTGTAAAGATAAAATTTTTTTTTAAACGGCCAAAAACATATTAAAATACAATTTTCAAGCTTTAAAATACTTTTTTATTTTTTTTTGTCTGCGATGATTTTTACCGAATATCAATCTAAATATTGTGCAATTTTGAACGGTTTGAATGTGTTTTCTACTTTTTGTTGAGTAATGTATATAATGTTTAATCAATGTTTACATAAAATTTAAATAAAATATAACTAATTACATTAATAATTTCTTATTTTTCAAAAATTCTTTTATGAAGTAATTATACAAAAGTTATAATAATTATTTTTGTAAAAAAATAAATATTTTAAAGTTATACTGCATTTTTTAAATGTTCCTAGTTTGTTAAATATCGACGTATTTATTGTACCTTAAACAAAGAAAGTTAAAAGACAAAGAGATTAAAAAGTATTGACAAACTAGAATTAAAAACCATAATATTAAGTAAACTATAGGAAATAAGTTTGCGAATCCTCTTCATTTAAAACTTAGTGTCATTATTTGCAACAAAAAGCTATCAAACAGGAACAAAAAGGTGCTTTAAGACTCTTAAGACGGAACAATTCTGTACTAAAGAAAAGACACGATTTTTCAAAGATTAGATTTTCCTTCACATATGCGGATTCCTTTATTTGAAAAACGTAATTACTCTTTCTATTATTACATAATGTTCCCAACAGAAACAGCATTCTATAACTGAAAGTATATATTTTTCTAAAATTGTTCACTCAATCATTGATTCTCTATAAAATACTTTATATTAATAAAGTAAAATACTTTATATTTATAAGCATCCAAAAGAAAAAGGAGTAATTTGTTTTATTTAGTTAGTTTATTTTTATTTGTTAGTAGAGTAACAGTTATAAATGAATGCATTATTCTGTATCGCAATATAAAGCGCATTGCCAATTCTAATTTACCAAAACGAATAAATAGAATAATCGACTAGGAATGAAATCCCAGGAGAAAGGCGATTTCAAATCGTAGTTCCAAAGCGGAAGATTTAGATTGTAAACGATATCGTATTGGAAACAATATCGCACCTATAAAATCCTATCAGTGATCTCTATTTATTGACGCTGTTTCAGTACAATCATTGAAATGGTTTGACTTCTTTATTGCGACATCATTTTGATTCAGATTTAGATTTAGAGTTGCTACTGATGAAAAAATGATGATGAAAAAATAACGCATCTCAAAATTAGCAACTTTTTAGTACAACGTTTTCAAAATTCTGAATTAAAACAATGTTTCAAATAACAAAAATTTGTTATTTAATAATAAATAATAAATAAATATTTGGCAATAAATTCTTTATGTAGTGATAGAGTAAGATCGTATTAATAGTAAAATATGGGATATATTGAATTGTTTAATTACAGAAGTTAGATTTGATCCTAAAACTATAAGGCGTGGAAATCGTAATATGAGGAAATCGTAATACGAGGTTTAAAGAATCATCTCAATGAAACTTGAAGATATCCAAATTCTAAAATCTTATTTTACAATGACTATAAGCATGATTTAATAATGAATTTTCTACTAAATAGTTTTCAATCCAACAGCAATAAATTCATGGTGGAATCAATAACGTTTATTAATAGAAACGCTGTTATCCCATATTATAGACGCCTATCTCATAATAGGAGTTTTCCTTTAAATATATAATTTCTTTACTTTCTTTCCGTGTTATACTTTTAATTATGATGTATTCTTTAAAACTTGAGTCATGTTTCATTCGAGCTGCGATCAACAGGCGTTTTTTAACTTAATACTCTTTAGTGATAATAAATTTTAATTGATTTTGATCCAATGTCGGGACAAATTCCTTCTATGTCTTGGGATCACAACATCAAATTTGTTAATCTGATAGTAATTTTTTCTTGGACATGAAGGGATTGATATTTTAAAATTGTATTACTGAGGATGGTTCCAAAGTGAATTGAAACGCACTATTTTTTTGGAATAAAGATTCTATTTTTTGGAATAAAGATTTAAGATTGCGTATTAACTACCACTGTTCATTTGCTCTAATTTTTTTTAATTTTTTGTTCTTTAAAACTATGTCATGAATTTTTAACATTTAAACACTAGTATAATATAAATTTTATACCTCAGTTTTATTACACTTTTCCATATAAGCAAACGAGCTACACATGTGCTATTCTTTCGCAAAATTATATTAATTTTTCTTTCATTATCTTAAAAATGCAAATTCTTTATTTGTGTTATTTTCCTATCAACGCAGCAAGTTGATTTATATATTAATAATATACATATATTAATCAAATCTTTAGATTTTTTAAAGTTTTTGTAAAATATTGATTTCTCTATTTTATAATTATTGACTTTTATTGTAAATATTGACTTTCTATTTTATAAAATTTATGTAAAATTATACAAAAATGAATTTAATGTTATTTTATAAAATATGAATAATCGTTGATATGTGTGTAAATTCAAACAAATCCAAAATTCGTCCAAACTTTTTGTTATATTTGCATATATGAATAATTGCTTACCATATCGGCGATAATCTTCCAGATCCATTTTACCTGAAACAGTATAAAGCAATTGTTAATTATTAATCAATTCAGTTTTATTTCATCTTACAATCATTCAGAATTCTTGAAAAATTACAGAATGATATTTTTTAACGCAATACTGTATGAAATATTATGTTAAAAATTTATATTAAATAATATTATATTTAAAAATTATTTGCTTAAGAAAAATGCTAAAGAATCCTTTTAGTTGCAATTGATTGACATCAATAATCGAGTTGTGAGCAAACAAAAGACTCCACTTCTTACCGTTAAATGTCAGATGTAATTTTTTTTAGTTACACATATGTACGTATTTTGCTTTAATTTGGAAAGAAATAATAAATTTAAAAAATTACAAGAATTCTATATAATAATAAAAATAATCATTTATTTCCCAAATTTATGATATATGTATATATGTATATATACATATAACAGTTTGAATAACTCTTTAATATTGGTTTATTGATCGTACTTTATTAGTAGCATGTGATAATTCCTTATCAATTCAAGTCACAAGAATTATGGCACACTGATTTAAACTCGTTGCATGCTCTTTGATTTGACACAAATTAGTGTTGCAAATTGAAAAAATTAAGAAGCAAAATTGTATACTTTCTTAATTAGTCAATAAAATCCATGAAATTTACTCCCGACAAGGTTATACACAGATATCGCTGAAGCACGATTACAACACAACGAACGATGTTGACCTAATACAAAAATTCGCAATGCGAGTTAGTCACTAATTTCTACGGATTCATCATCGATCGCATTGGCGTCATATAAGTCGAGCTTCATAGTGCAGGTGATCCATTAAGATTTGCATTTGATGACCAAGCTTTAGTTTCTTTATATTTATATTAATTGCATTTATAGGAAAAACGTTATTTAGCAATAATGTTAAAAATAATGTTAAATAGTTAATAATAAAAATTATTTCAAAAATAATATAAACAGTATCTTTACGCGTGTTCGATAAATTGCATTATAAAAATGAACTTTACAATGTATAGATATATTAATAATTTTTTTATTAATTACATATTGATAAGCAACTTAACAATATCTTTTTAAAAATTTCTTACAATGAAATCAGATATTAACTTATTTTAATATATTGAAGATGCTACAATAGAATATTCATTTTAAATAAACTTTCTTAAAAAAGATTTTGTATAAAAAATTTAATATCTGATTGAGCTATAAAAATAGAAAAATTGTACACGATAAACATTTTGCGTTAGAAACAGTTTATTTGTTAACCATTTGTATTAAATTTTTTAAAATATTCGAGTAATTTGACATAATGTAATTATGTTATTTAAAGATTTTGTGTTAAGTTAATATTCAAAGTTCCTTGATGTCAAAATAATATAATTTATAAATAACTAAACATGTAACATAAAAATAGTGTGTTTTAAAAAAATTAATTCTGAAACCAATGATTAAAATACGTATTAATTTAACAAATCATTAAATAAACACAAAAAAAAAATATTTCTACAATTTGTTTACAAATTGTGTCGGCATTATCTTTTTTATGATCATTTTTTTCATATAATATCTGCATTATTTTCTAATACATTGATCTTATGTTAAATAAACACAAAGTCATTAAATAACGTAATCACATTATGTTAAATTAATATTCGAATATGTTAAAAAATTTAATACAAACTGTTAACAAGACATGAGTGGACCGTTTCTAACACAAATACATAATATTCTTTACTGTGTAGTTTCGACAAGATGATCTTAGCAAAACCGAAAAGAATCGCGAGACGCGCGTAGAACGGAAAATCGAACTGGCCACGAGCAGTAACGAGGATCTAAAGCCAGAATGACACCCGGCGATATTAAAAGCTCGTCCTTCCTCTGTTTCCGCTTCCGACTTTTGTAATTTCCCGTAGCTTTCACCACTACCGAGCAGTTTGCTGAGAGATTTATTTATCCGCGAAGCCGTCGGACATTCCGCGGATTCTCCATCAGTGATTCGCGATTCAACGAAGAAAATGCCAGTTAGGCATTTGATAGCGACATAATGTTCAATATTATCAAAAATATTTTAATGATTATCGAGGAATTCAATACACGTTCAAATAAAATCGAATTTCAATCAAATTTTAAATTTACATAAGATATTCCAGAGTTAAATAATTAAACCCCTTGCCAATACATTTCGTGGGTAAACATAAAAATAATTTTTATAAATATTGGTCCAAATAAATTTTATTTAAAAATGATAGAATATTAAACATAAATATAATAACAAACTTAAAATATGAAACAATAAATATAAAAACAAATCGATAGTGCTTTTGTAATCTGTTTAATCTAACTACACACACACACACACACACACACACAGACGTGTGTGTGTGTGTGTGTGTGTGTATGTGTGTGTGTGTGTGTGTGTATATAAAATCATTGAAGAATTTATTGATATTTGTATTACTCTCAAAAATCAGTATATGTATAATATAACAAAAAATTTCTTATCAAAGTGTCACAAATATTCTTGATTCAGATATGATTTTTGCAATAGAAATATTGTTGTGCAAATAAGAGGAAAAAAAGAGAGAATCGTGTATTTTAAACGTGCATCTTATTTATTGCATTGCTGAAAGTAATTATTATTTTACAATTCAACACAATTACAACAGTTCAACACAATTATAACTTCCCTGTTTTAATTAAGCGACTATTTATTTATTAATGCTATCACAAAAAGTAATTTGTATGTTAAAACAATACACACAAATTGCACTTGTTTTAAATAATAAAAATATTTGAATATTAATAACGAGTCTGTTTACATGTATAATGCATTTTTTCCATTCGATAATTCATCACATCGTTTATCTTGATCAAAATAGTCTCTCAGGTATTGTAATTAAATAATTATTTATATATATAAATTATTAATTAAATCACAGGTCAAATGTATAGGATATTAAATCACATCATCTTGATAAAGATCGTGATAAATCTATTTTTTTCATATAAGCTTGGATTCTTACTTTGACATAAAAAATCAGGTAAAATTTTTCACTTTACTGAAATTTATAATTTTTCAAACGTGATTGACAAGAACATTTCTCTTCTCGACAATTTTTAGAAATTTGATTGTTTCGATAAGAGACGGGATTTAAGCTTTAAAGAGTGAAAACTTCGCGCTGCCGATTTAGAGAAAAAAAAAAACAGAAAGTCGCGAAGACAAAGAATTAGATAGTCGTAATATATTTTTTATTTCTAAATGTCTAATTTTAAATTTATAACTAACAATAAGTCTCATTTTATTTTCCCATTAAATTACATATAAATTTCTATCGTTGCCTCCACCGTTTGGCAAATAATCAAAGAATTGACCAAGAATTAATCAAAATTTGAACCAAAAGTTTTCGAGAATCAAAAGTATTATAGAGAAACAGATGTAGAAAAATTGTTGCAACTTTTAAATATTGTATTCAGGGAGTTTATATAAACATATATTCATTTTTGTCTACTTCAAATATAATATACTTATTTTTCGAAAATGAGATAGCTTTTTTTCGCCTATACATCACAGACAGCATCGTTTGCCTATACATCACATTTGCCGACAGTTCATTTGCATATAAAAATTATTTAGTCTTAGCTTGATCGATATCGATTACCTACATGAATTATTGCATATAAATATAAAATTAAGAAAAAAAGGCACTTTTGTACACACACGACGGTATTCGAACACTATATTTATTTTTAAAAGTATTAAAATTGTAAGAGTATATCAAATAAAATTGTCTGCAGACTAAATCATTTTCGCGTTGCTAGTTATATGTAGTTATATTATAAAATTATTTTTAATTAAAGATATCTATTTCATTCATGTATTATATCTTTCTACCGCTATTTTTATAAGAATGGACACATAATAATGAACAAATTAAACTTTTAAATATTTAATTTGTATAAGTAGATTTCCATTTTAAATGTATTAAAGTATATGTGTAAAACAATGTAAAAAACGTTACGATAAAAGAACATATTTGTAATTAATTTAAGCTTATATCTCGAATCTAAAGCGTGTATGAAATTAATTCATTTTTTTATAAATATTAATTTGGTTGATCTAATTTGTTAATTCAATTTTAACGCTGACCTGTTCGGAAGTCCTACGTCAATCACTCTTGTGACGAATTGAGCTGAAGTTGTAACTTGAAGTCGCACAATACGGAAAATATCGTCGTGGTCACCCGTCGGATATTTGCTCCCCTTTTCGTCCTCGAACAGGATATATCCGCGACGGAAGCGAATCAGCAGAATGCGTGCAGCTCAACAAGTGGCTGCTTTTATATAGCTGCGCGCTCTGCGTACAATTCCTCTGATAGCGCAAGCGTTAACGAAGAAGCCGGGAATGATGATGCGTCTTGTGACCACGATTTAATACCTCTAGACACTACCCACTATGATAGAAATAAATCTGTACAATCTTAACAAAGTTCCACAAAGACAATGTAAAATCGCTGCACGGCATAGGGTGGGCCAAATTCAAAATTTAACTTTTAAAGGTGTAGCTTCATAGGCATAGAATAGAAACTATCTTCGTAATCTCGAAGGGGTTGAGACATGAAATATAATAAATATTATAAAGTTGTATATATTGGCGAGAAAGCCAAGAAGAGATAAAAAATTTTTTGAAAAATTTTGCAAGAAGAAGACATATCTGAATGACATAAATCGAGTAGAAAAATACGTGAATATATTCATATCTAGGCATCATGTGCACCTACGGATATGATTGTTATCTCATTTTTTAATTATAAAAATCCATATTTTTCTCCAATATACATGTGCATTTTTAATAATACCAATTTATTTAAACAAAATAATAATTTTTTATTACACAAGCGTCTTCCTTACTGTAAATGATACGCTGTAATATTTCTTTTATGACAATATAAAGATTATTTAACGTACTGAATTTCTAAAATTAATATACTTGACGGGAGACGCTATCGCATCTTCTAATATATTATTCGCGTGTATGTTAGATGTATAAAATAAATAAAGAATCATATATTATAACTTCTTATAATACAATGTGTGTGTGTGTGTGTGTGTTTCAAGAGCAAAAGCAAAATAAATTTTAAAGAAATAATCATAATATTAATTTCTCAGTAAACAAGAATGGAGTAAAATAGATTAAAATTTTAATCCATTTGAATCAAATTTAGTAGCATTCATGGTTCATTTTCCTTTTTTTTTTAATTTAATTACATGGAAAAATTTTTTTTTTAGGTTCAATTGGATTAAAAACTGCAATTCCTATTCAGAATTTTGAATTAAGCAGCACAATGCACTTAAAGAACTGAAATTTTTTTTAGTTTAATTGGCATAGAAATGTAATTCCTATAAAAATGCAAGGGATTCATCTCAACGTTCGCAAATGCATACTTCTGAAAATCTGAATTCATTTCATTTACTGAGTTTGCAATATTGCATTACGTTACAAATATATTGCAATTACAACAAACAATTTATTATTTACAAGTATAATAATAAATTCTGTACAATTTAATTTTACATTATAGAATTACTTTAATAAATATTTAAAATTTATAATAATTTATAATAATTTAGCATGTAATGTAATATATAATTAGATATAATGTCATAATTTAGTTATAGTATTTAATTGATAAGTAATCATTTTCAGTATTTAAAAATTTCATAAATATAAATTATCTAAAATAATGCTAAAAAAGGTATATCACAATAATTCCATTTTCAAAAATAATTAAAATTAATTCTAAGTTACAAAATTATTGACACTGATAATAATATATTTTATTTGTAAAAAGGATAAATCTTCTAATTT